CAAAATTATGTAAATTTCTTTTTAATTTTGTGTATCTTAAACATGCCGGACATTTCAGTCAATGTGACAACAGGGCGTTGTACGCCAAACCGGCAAGGTCTACGTTTCTGCTAGGCTAGTAACAATTTTGTAGCGTTACGAGGTAGACGTACACGGCATGGGTCGCGACGTCGCCGCAAAGTGAGATACAGTCTATTTATAGAAAAGAAAAATTCAATAAATATTAAGTGATTGAGGAAACGCTTGTATTATTGAAGAAATACCAACATTTAATTAGTGATGATTAATGAAAAAGTAAGTGATGAATAATATTAATATTTTATTTTGATATTAAATATTATTTGTCATCCTAGATAATTAATTATTCTTTCATTTGGTAAATTCGAGATAATTAGAAATTAATAACAATCTTTAAAATAGAGTTTTCTCCAAACTTTTTTTTGCGTGTTAATTTTTATTTTTTCACTGGGATGTTGGACCCTTATTTCAAATGACGTAAAAGTCATCGTTGCGTGTATCTTTTTTTCCAAAAACTAAGCAAAAAAGTATTATAGCGATATGGGTGATAAATTGTTGATATTAAATATTTAATTATAACATACCATACCTAGTAAAAGAATCAAAAACATAATAATGGAATTTAAACAAAAATAATGTCAGATTTATTTAAACTATTATCTAACAATTAAACTATCGAAAACATATTATGCAGCCAGTTTGATAAATGCTATTTTACTTATCAACATACAACCCGTGACTAAGATGTACCCAAAACATCCGTTTAGGTGCCTTCTTCATTGCTAAAGGTTGGCCACAATAGCAGCAAACTCCTCTCCATTCCTCAACGTTCTCAATAGGGTCCATGTGTCTAATCTTGTCCACTCTCTAATGTTTTCAAGCCATGAACATTTTCGTCTTCCGAGACATCTCCTGCCCCTCTATTCCCTTTCCATGACCACTCTGCGCCGTTTCACATGCTGCGGGAGTGCTTTGTCGGTTCCCATCATTCTTATAACATTCTTATTTGTCATTCGTTTTGTCCATGGAATCTTCAAAAGTCTGCGGAAGACCCACATTTCAAATGCTTCCAGTCGTTGCATTATTCTCTTTCCCATTGTCCAAGATTCCGTGCTGTATAAGACAACATAATAAATGTATGTTTTCACAAAACAGTGTCGAGTATCCAGTGACAGAGTAGTATTTGTTAGGAATGTCTTTATTCTCACAAATGTGGATCCTACGTTTTCAATTCGTGCTCGAATTTCGGTGTCCGGATAAAGTTTTGGGTAATCCAGCACCCGAGATACTTAAATTTTCTCACCTCTTCTATTGGAGTACCATAGTAAATTTTGATTTCTGCTGATGGCCATCACCTTTGTTTCTAATATATTTATTGTCAGGCCATTTGATCACCTGATTCTACAATGTTGTCTATCAGTACTTGCAAGCCTTCTGAACTGTCTGCAAAGGTGACTGTGTCGTCTACATAGCCTATATTATTAAATATTTTACCGTTCACCTTCATACCAATTTCGCTGTTCTCTAATGTTGCCCTCGAACCCATGACTAAAATACAAGAAATACGCGAATTGACTCGCGACCCTGAGTCACACTGATGTATTCTTGAATAGGATAATCGGCAGATTTATCAACGACAAGAATTTCATGTTTGTTTTTGTTTAATTGTACCGTCCTAATAAAATTATTAAGATAAATTAGAAGACGTATACTATCTTGATATATAAAAAGGATAAGCTTAAAATTTTTAGCAGTTTCAAAAAGTTTTGGTTAGTTTACCATAGTTTTTGAAAACAAATATCCAGGAAATAGTACCGAAAGCACTGGGAATCGGTTTAAGAACTGTACATAGAATTGTGCATTAAGTACAGAGGAAGACTAAAAAGTATAAACGAAGAAATGCAGAGACTAAATATTTCAGATGTGAAAATGGAAGTTCGGAATGTGATTTGTGATTTATACTATTTCAGTTTTGAAAGAAATTGTAAAATGAAGTAGTGTTTCGGATATTGTATTGTATTATAAACCGGGCTGTAATCGAAGATTTTTGTCTTAATAGCTACTCATAATTAGCCACCGTGTACAATGTTTTAAAAAAATATAGTGAAAATTACAGACGATGATATTTGTTTTCTATAACATTAGACAGTTTTTTGGTATATACCTTTTAGTATTCTAAGTATTATAAACTGGCTACCACTGTTGCTGCTACTGCTTGCTCGAGACTGACTGGCAGATTTTCATCTTCTTTTTATTCCTTGAAATATTTATTTTTATATTTAAATAAATTCAACTGTTTAATATGGTTACTAATAATATAAAATTCAGTTTACCACCGAAATAATCAAAATATATTTTTTAACCTTTTAACTCGTCCTGTAATATAATTAGTGTAAAATAAATTGTATGTGTGTAAATTGTATCACAACAGTGCGTAATAAAAAAAAACTATTTTTCTTTTTTCAGGTATATTTTAGTAGTCTCTGTGTTTGCGAATTCGATTAAAATAATTAGTCATGTTCGGACCAGCATGCTAGGACTGGATTTGATTATAGTATTTTAACGTTTGTCAGTTCTGGCGGTTACGTTATTCAGTTAATGCTGTGTGACAAAAATGTACCCAAAATGTAATGCAAGTAACTGAGCGACTAGGATTGAACCATATCAGTAGAAAATGAAAGGGGTTGTTATTTTTCTGAATACTAAATACTAGTTTCGATCAGTCGAATTTCGTTTACCGAAATGGTAGCGTATTTGCATTATGCCCTTTAATTAAACCCAAATTTTAAAATTATTGAATGAACACGCCACGTCGATCGCAGTTCCAATTAGTCGGAAATGCTGTCCTAACGGACAGATAAACTGTTGAGTACAAATAATAAATTTTCGGCGTAAAACACTCCACACGACAATCGGATTATATTGGCGGATCGAAACGAAAATAATTTAGCCTCGTTTCAGCTTTCAACAATTTGACGTCATTAAATGATCATTGCTGTGGCATTAACCGACGTTATAGTGCACGCACGTTGGCCACATTCATACGTTATTTTGACCTCACAATCAACCTAATTACCGATGGCGTCTGATCGCCCCGTGCATTAATTTTTGCCCAATTAGTACAGATAATAATAATATTCTCTTTCTACCTATTCTCTCTTTAATGGGCAGTAATCGGAAACATTTTATTTATTAAATATCAATATTTTAAGTGACGCAAATAATATTTGGACATGATTTTCTTTTATTATTTTCCACGTAGTAGTCTATATTTTCTTGAGTCTTATAAAAGGTGTTGTTGGAAGATGGAAAACAAATTAGCCTCTTCTAAATAACTACAGCATTCATCAATGAGGCAATGCAAATGTTGTAATTTTAATACCGATTCACTTCAGAAATAGGTAAATAGGAATTTTTACCATGTTCAGTAAAGTAAACTATACATTTAGAAATAATATGAAACATATTAAACCTGAAACTAGTGTTTCCATGTGAACTAAGATTGGTATAAAAACGTTTAAGCTATTCTTAACCGCTTGGACATTGTAGAGCATAGATTTATGCTAGAGACATCCTTCAAATAAAATTTTCTACCAACTTTAGTACATTTAAATTTAATATTTAAAAAGAATATGTTAATCAAATTGGTATAAAAAAAGCCTCTTAAGCACCACGAGGTTAACAAAAATTCCTAAATAAAAGTTTAGGCCATCTAATAATAAACTTTACTGAAACCTAAAATTATTTTGAAAATGTTATTTTAATTGATGGACTGGAACGTTTAATTATTTTTAATACTATTTTGACCACTAGAGTTGTAAAATGCACAATTATTATAGCCTATAATAGGTTAAGTTGACTTGATATCTGCTCTTGAGATTCTTGGATTATTTGGAGCAGATCTTTCTCAATGAGTAGCTGATAAAGATCAACGCCTATTTGTAAATATGATGACGGTTATTGTGTCCCGTGATTTTACTTGATTGCTGTTCTCGCTATTCTCCCTTTTTTGCTAAATTTAATATTGATTTTGTCCTGGGCTTGAGACGGTGCTATATCCAACCCTTAGAAGCCTTACAGGCCATTTACTATGTGTTATTTTTTTTAATCCTCTTGGCGCAAGAGTATCGGAAAAAACTGGATTGTTATGTATGCGGTCAGTTAATTAATTACCAGTTTCTTCATTAAAGCACTCTATACAGGCTGAAGCTCCCTTTCCACCCCTCCAAGTAATTTTTCTGAATGCTATCCAGAGTGTTTTCAACACAGAGCTCAATAATCTTTTGTAATTTATCTGACGATGAAGCAGATGCACTAATCTTTAAAACAGATTTCGTTCCAACTGCCAACCTTTAGCGTTCCTAGCAGCACTGGCGATCACAAATTCACAAATATTTTTTATAAAATGTTCCGGTAACTTTGCGCAATAGGGTTCCACAGCACTTTCCCCACACACTCCTTGTAATTTGTTACAGCGTTCCTAAGCAGGTTGAATCCAACATCCTTAAAAATTAATTCAAGATCTTTAACTTATATGTCTTACCTATTGAAATTCCCTAGTAAACTGTCTGCTTTAGATTTTTGGTGCCTAACTTCTTGCCATTTTTTCTGGAACAAAACGATTCATCTTGTCGTCCAGATCTATACTTTAATAACACTAAATATTTCTTATAACTGCGTTTTTTTGTGGTGCGCTTACTAAATAAAGGCACTTTTTGGATATTTGGGGTAGGCAGCTTACAGTTCATCAATCCGCACGTACGGGGTCAAAGTATTAGTCCGTGATTTCAGTCGGTTTTAAGGAGCAGGAAAAGCAGTTCACGAAAAAATAAAAAAATAAACTTCGGAACTCATCCAAATTTTAGTGGTGCATTAATTTGGGAATTTGGGTGCGATGTGAATTTTCGGTAAAACTTTAACTTGCTTTCGACCATGAATGGCTCGGTATATTAATATTCACTTACGAATACTATTTCTGACAGATAATCAGCTATTCAAGTTCAAGAGGCGGCGTAAGCGTAAACACCGAAAGGGGCGAGACAAGCAGAAGTGTTTTGCTCATACAGAAAGCGAGACCAACAGATTCCGGAAATTACCAGTGCAACCCTTCGAACGCCCGACCTGCAAACGTAACAGTCCATGTTCTGAATGGTAAGTATTAAAACGATCCCTTAAACCAGACACATCGTCCCTCTACGTTATAAGATATTCTGTTCACGTCACAGTACGTTTACTCCTTCGGTAATATTAAATTTTCCCCACACCCTGCTTGTAATCGTTCCTCGCACACATGGTTGCACGGTGGTGAAATTATGAATCACCCCTAAAGTATAGTTGCCCTAAACTAGACGTATCTCGTATCTCACTAATTGGGAAAGATAGTTTTTGTAGCGCTTCTCAATACATTTTAAGGAACCCAATATATTATTAACCCTTCTTTTTTGTATCTATAAACAATGTGAAACAGAAATTATACTAAACAATAACATGAAGTGTAAAAAACAGGGTCACTGGAGGCAACTTTGAAGAAGATCGATATCCAGTCCCTTGGACTAGTCGATTTTGATTTATTTTATTCTTAACTTAATTAAGATGTAGGTAAAATATATTTTACATGTAAGCAAGCAGAAACTGCATAATCAGAGGTGTAGTTCTAATGTGAACGTATTGTACTGAAGCGAGATGCTATTATATGGGCTAACTCATGATGTGGGGGAATACTTAAACCACGGAATTTTAAGTTATTTTTTATTTGCTAAATACTGGGGCAATTTTTTGTTATGACAGCGAAAACAGGATTGCTGAACTTTTTGTATATGTAGTTGGTCCGTATATTTCACCACAATAGTTGAAATTGAACCAAGGAATCTGCGAAAGGAGATAAAGACAATACATAATGTGGGGTTCAAAATATGAGATACTTTACATAATAATGAAGGGAAAGATTGTGGACAGGTCAATTGTAAAACGCAGGATACCTTGGAATACAGTCCAAGATGGGTATATAGAAACCGGAAATTTGAACAGGCAAGTAGGTTTCGAAAAAAAACGGAAGACAAGTGCAATTCTGCGGGTGCTCCTGGCGACTGCTTTTATTGTCCTAAATGCTTTACGGAATCGTAGCACTACAGCAGTTCAGAATCAACGTTTAAAAAGCGTGCGTAGGATTAAGGTCGGTGCCTTCAACGCATGCATACATATGAATGAATGATATATATATATATATATATATATATATATATATATATATATATATATATATATATATATATATATATATATATATATATATATATATATATATATATATATATATATATATATATATATATATATATATATATATAATATATATATATATATATATATATATTCCGGGATATCATCCGTTCGCTCATTGAACTCCGACTGGAATCCTGCATCCGACTGGAATCCTGCAGACGTTTCGCCAAAATCTCACTTGGCATCTTCAATGCTTGCGCTCCGAAAACACTTCGAACACGAGCATTGAAGATGAAGATATATATATAGATGCCGGAATAAATATTTGTTTTGATAAAATCGTATGGTATTTGTCTGTTGTAAAAAAGATGGATAACATCATCTTGTTGTATTCGATCAAAGGCTTTTTCTAGAGCGATAAAACACATGTAGGCTGGTCTGTTGTATTAAATGGATTTTTCAGTTATTTGCCCTAGCATGAATACAGCGTCTGTACAAGATCTTCCAGATCTGAATCCTTTTTGTTCTTCAGTCAATGTAATATGGGTATTGATTTTATTCGTGATAATTGTGGTTGTTAATTTGACTGTCGTATTGAGCAGATTTATTCCCTGGTAGTATGTGGTATTTTTTGTGTCCTTTTTTGAATTAAAAAGTAAAGTTGTTGTGTTAACACGCCATTCGTCTGGTATTTTATGATGAAACATGATTTTCTTTACTAAAGTTTGTAATTGTTGTGTTAGTTTTATTCAATGCAATTCTACGTCAATGCAATTTCTACGTCCCGTGCTTCTATAGTTGTTTTATCGTTAATAACTATGCTGGGTGTACTTATGGATTCTTCGTTTTTATCATTTTCTTTGTGGTATAGCTTTTTAGATATTTTATCCAAGGTTCTTTTTGTATAAAATTTATGCTAACAAGTTTATTCATTTCCTTTCTTTTATTTCTAATTAGCCTCGATATTTGTTTTTGCAGTCCATAGGAATCACGTTCCATCCTTTTTTAGGTTTGTCTTACAAGAGAGTTAGTTTCATTACGTTTTTTTTTTTATATTTTTCGTACTATTCTGTGGTTGTGCCATCTTGTATTCTAGGTATGCTTGTTTCTTTTTTTGCACTGTTCTTTAATTTCTTTGGTAAACCATGTCGCCTTGTTGAGTTTGTCTTTATGTTGTGTTATTTTTCGAGTTTCCAAAGCTTCCTTTGCTGCTTCTTTGATGTTGTTTTTTAATTTTTCCCAGCTAATATTAATATTGTCTGGTTCTTCGATGGGGTTTTTAACAATTTTGTTGTTTAAACGGGTTTTTGTTAAAGTTCTTCACGGTTGGGTCCCATAATGAACAAATATTAATTTTTATTGTTTGTGTAGATGCTGTTTGTTTTGTTTCTATCACATCAAAAGGCAATGGTCACTTCCAGCGTTAACAGTAGTAGTGTTCTTATTTTTAGCACTTGCAACGGGTGTATGCTTCTATTAGTTACGATTTAATCTATCATTGACTGTTGTCCTCTCGCATTTCTGAACATGTGTTAGTACTGTACTGAGTGGTCAAAGAAAGTGTTATTGATTTTTAAATTATTAAATGAACAGAAAACCACCACTAGCTCTATATTTTCATTTAATACATTTTCATTTAATCGTTGTTCCACTTCAGGAGTCATGTCATCAACTATCGTTATTAATTAGGAGCTAACGCCAACTTTGAAATTGGGACCAGTTTTTAACGGCCGGTGAGTGTGAATCAAGAGAAAGCGTATCAACAGCCATTATGAGCGAATTCAATCTTTATCTAGGATACCTAATAGTGGCATACGCTACTTAAGGGATGACATAAAATGAAATTTATATTCGGCTTATTCGAATAAATAAAATCCCAAAATTACCTCGTATATTGCAGCCTTCCTCTCATGGAGTATCACTTCCCTAACACAATTTTCACACGCAGCAAGTGAGGCGGTGCAGATCCGATAAACGCCGAAATTTGATTAACGAAAGGAGCTTATGTTACCAAGTCAATCGAACTTCTGTATAATGCTGCCGCACACATCCCGCGAAGTGCCATGTGCGCAAGTTTGAATATTTTAATATAACTCTGTAACTACAGGAGATATGGCAAAGTAACTGTTACCTCCACAAAGGCGATCGTTATTTCTATGGATATTGACAAGATCGATTTTTAACGACTCCTTATTTTTCAAGTTTCAAAAAACATTTAACAACTTTCGGGTGCTTTTCTTCGACTTTTTCGAAAGTTGTCAGATTTTGAATATAATTCTTTTATTACATTTATCATTTAAAGTTTTGAAAGAAACTCTAATAAACGCAGTGATTTGGATATTATATTAGACTTGAATCATTATCGTTATAAAAAAGATTGTAAGTGAATATTTTTAAGTAAAGAGCCTCAGAAAGTCAAGATGGAGAAATGTGGATATTTTTAAATAAAACTGTTTCAAAAGAGAAAAAGGGAATGTGCAATTTTAATTTTTTCTTCGACATCAATAAGTTTGGAGTATCAGGATAATACGAACTGAAAAAAAGTTTGAAAAATGGTTAAAGAAAATTGTTTCCAAACTTGGATGCTCCGTTATTGTATTAGATACCGCAGTGTAGCATTCAAGAATTTTAAATGAAGAACTTACTTTATCTACGCATAAAAATAATATTTATGAGACTGCAATTTTATGAAAAGTTTGTTACTTTCCCTTAATCAATTTAATTATAAGTTTGATTTTCATTAAATTAAAATTTAATTCAAAAGCAAAAGGGGTCGTTAGAGTGGATGGCCGTGTGTCGGTTCATTTATTTTGCTCACCTGATTTTCAATATCATTTGTGTTTTGAATAAACGTATAAAGTATTTCGTATCATGTTACTGAACACGCGCACTAGAAAAATTTTTTTTTTGCAGGTCTATATTAATTTCCAATTTTTGTCGGCCAAGATTGTTCAGAGATGCAACGCATGGTTTGACAAACTCTAGTACTTTTGACAATAACATTTGTCAAACAATCTAGATGCATGTCTCGCTTTGTATATATCTCTGTCGTTGATAACTACTTTCTTGACATAAATCAAAAGTCGTCGAATCATTTTATTTTTGGTTCCTTTATTTTATATCTATACCTGCAAAACTACATTGCAAACTAATTTTATTTTAAAATAATGTAGTAGTTTAATGAAGTTTTTTAATTAAAACAACACTGAAGTAAACTTTTTCTAAAACGGATAATTATTTCACTTAATACATCTTTTTGTACAGGTGAACATCCAGAAGCTATGCAACACGGCGGAAACCAGAGGATGGGCCCTTCACTAAGCGTGCTCGCATTTATAGCCTACGTCCTGCTAACGTACAGTTAAATATTCCCTTTCTGTTAAAGACTCTTCCAGTGACTACTCACGCTATTTGGACTCCGTTTTATTTTTAGTGAATATGAGCTGATCGGTGTATATCAAAAAATGTGCATGTTTTTCTAAAATAATCCCTTCAAGTATAGTGACTCTTGTTATCAAAATTGCGTAAAAATATTAAAACAGTGCATCTCATTTTAGTATCATATATGTTATTTGAAACTCTCACCATTGCTATTTCGGACACCATGAGTTATAGGGTTTGATTCATATTTAAGCAAACATACTAATAGAGTCGGATAATTTTCGGTTGCAAAGTTGAAGCACAAATTATGCAATTCCTCCTTTTCATTTTATTCGTCAACCACCGTTATTTTTTCATGTTATCAACTTTATTTTTCCTTATGAGTTTTGCTTTCTTAATGGTATACTACAAGCTACCATTGTAGTTCAGAAAGCGTGAACACGAGAGTAAAAGTTTACAGCAAATGAAAGATGTCTAATTATTTTAGCTACCTTCATTATTTTACCGTAGTCTACAGTGGCTTTGACATATTTATAATTGCAATTTACTAACTAGGCAAAACTCCATAATTACAATATGCCCCCAACAGAAAAACAGAATATTATCTAAATCCCAGATACCTTTTAGGCAATTTAAACTACTCGTTGTTTTATATCCTTTCAGAGGTCCCAATGGTAAGGGTCAAATGTAACTTTTTTTTTGGTAAGTCATCAGATAGCACAATAAGCTGTTGATAGTCAGTACCTTCATCTCATCTCATGAAAACAGCATCATCAACATTATTAGTACAGTAAAACCCGGTGGACTTTCAAAGAAAAAAATATGCAAGAGGAATTTTCCGATCCGATCCGATCCGATCCCCTAAGATGAAAGTCAGCGAAATGATTGTTTAAATTGGAGATCAACATTTGAAATAGCGGCCAATTTTCAAAAATTTTGTGTTTCTTTGATATTTTCTTGCGATCTCAGTTCTTGAGACCTCCTCATAGACAATCGGTGACCGCATTATCTTAATATATTTATCAGCCTGTCAACAATGAACTACAATACAAGAATAATGCTTGAGAAGCCATTCTACACTAATGAACTGGTTGTCATGCGATCATTAATTCCTGTAATTAACATGAACTTTTTTTTTCTCATTCCTTAAATTAAACTAATGTGTATTATTAAGACTAATATAATAATGAAAAAGCTCAACTATATTCTAGTCCATGATACTTTACGCAATTTTGGTTACCGCGAAACATCAGATCTTGCCCTTTCCAGTATAAAAACTTGTTTCTGATTTTTGTAAAACTTTGACGAGATTATGTACATAATGTATTTATCAGATTTTAAACTGTTATTGAAGTATTTAGAATAATAATTTATTCAATTATTTCCGAAGAGGGGACGAAAATACCCTTTCGATGTGGACAGCGGCTGCATTGTGATAATATATTCAGGCTTAGAATACAGGAATGAACAAATAAATGTACTCATGCGCCTTGTTTATATTTTGGCAGGTGCTTTGTGTCGAAGAGTTTCCAAATTTGCAAATATCTATTTATAACCGCGTTGTTGGCTTGATAAATCCACGTTTCCTCAAAATAAAGTTATAGTGGATAGCATATTGAATGGGGGCACCATCACCAATAGTATCAATAAGTTCTCATTTTCAATAGTTTAAACATTGCGTTTTTACGTTTACATTTTTTTTTATATTTAGCTATTATTTCATTATTTTAATTATTTATTGTTACATACTTTATATCTCCCACAGTTTCAGTGATGCTAATGAAATACTTGTGTACCACAATTTATACCCTTAAAAAAAATTATTGACCAAGGTACCAATGCTATACGTCAAAGGATTTTTGTTTGAACTATGGACTATATGTACGGTATATATATATATATATATATATATATATATATATATATATATATATATATATATATATATATATATATATATATATATATATATATATATATATATATATATATATATATATATATATATATATATATATATATATATATATATATATATATATATATATATATATATATATATATATATATGATGACACTATATTCCGGGATATCATCCGTTCGCTCGTTGAACTCCGACTGGAATCCTGCATCCGACTGGAATCCTGCAAATCTTGCATCCGACTGGAATCCTGCAGACGTTTCGCCAAAATCTCACTTGGCATCTTCAATGCTCGCGCTCCGAAAACACTTCGAACACTTCGAGCGCGAGCATTGAAGATGCCAAGTGAGATTTTGGCGAAACGTCTGCAGGATTCCAGTCGGATGCAAGATTTGCAGGATTCCAGTCGGATGCAGGATTCCAGTCCGAGTTCAACGAGCGAACGGATGATATCCCGGAATATAGTGTCATCACATTTTTCCGTCCGTGGGTCGGTGCGTGAGAATATATATATATATATATATATATATATATATATATATATATATATATATATATATATATATATATATATATATATATATATATATATATATATATTATTTTTGATACCGCATCAAAAGATGACAGTTGTTATGAGTATATTGTCTTATTGCCTTATTAAATTATCTCTTGGTGTGTGATGCGGTGTTGTTGATTCGCAACTTATTTTCATTTTATAAAAAAGAAACTACTGACTTCCGCAAAGGTTCCTTAAGTTTATTGCTTACTCATTTATAATGGGCATGAAGGCAGTGTTTCGACCGCTATATGCAACTGACACAGACTATGGATGATATATATAATCGGGTTGGCTAGGTGAGACGTCTGAGTCCATCATTCATCCAAGTATTCCAAAATAAACTGTACCTAACATCCTTATTAAATTTAGAACGGATCTTAACTTTACTCGAAATCACCACTTCACCAACTTTTTTTTCTTTTATTGTGTTTCTTGGACAGCTTTCGGCAAATTTTGTTATGAACCAGATTAGATATTTCTATTATTATTGATATATTTTTTTATACTTATATATGCCCAGTTCTTTTCTTTTTAGTAGGTATTCCTGTCAGAATAAATATTAGAAATATATATTTACCCTGAAAAACTGTGAAATAACTTATTTATTAGAAAAACAATATACTTACCGCAGCAGAGAAAAAAAGTTTTCTTTTATATGGTAAACGTTTCTTTTGGTATCCTTTTGTTTTATTAGATTCCACACAGGAAACTTGATTTATTAGAAAATTGGCAATAACGCGACCATTTTGAACACATATGCCAAGTTGTATCCTTGAAAAATCAGTAAAATCAATCAATCCATGCTGTAAATGTGTATGTAAGGTTTTAAAATGTTCATATTTGAAAAAGTTGCAATTTATTATGTTCACCGATACATGTAGTCTAATTTCAAAAAATATCTTCTGGCAAAGGGAAAGACTGCCTTAGTCAATAATCTCGTCGATACCGGGTATACATGAACAATTGTTGATTTTTTGTTGGAAACGGCGTAGCTTGTTTCATATTGCTAATTCAGCAGTACTACCATACTATTTTTTATGTCAAATACAGCTCAAAATATTCAAAAACGTACTTGGTTGATAGTGGTTGATTCGTTTGCTATTTCTAACAGGATTGATCTTTTTCCGACAAACAGCAAAATATTGGAAAAGGTTTAAACATATACTGAATGAATAAAATCATAATTGATTTAAGATTAGTATGGATTGGATTTTGATATGTTATAGAACGTCGTACAGGATAAAACTATATGTCGTCTTTATTGAGCTGATGTTGCTTATTTCTAAAGTCTACTAGAAGAACGCAATTCAAAATGAAAATAAAATCAATTTTATTCAAAATACTAGCTAACACCAAGGGCACTTACTCAATAATAAAATGGCTTTGCAATATTTTTACGGCAAATCAATGGCTGTGTAGTAAAGAATATATCGTTTTTTATATTAAATTAGTAGGCAAGATCTATGTTTTATCAAAACAAACATACCATTACGATGCGCAATTCATTTTTTCCTTTACATCCTCATTCTTCTAATATTAATAAAAACACTCTAGCAACTTAAAGAAGAAAACTGAGAATAACTTGTATATAAAATGTTATATGATAAATGGCAAATTCCTAGACATATAAGTTTTAAACAACACCTTTATGTAATAAGTAAAAAGAATTGGTGGTATGAATATATTCTTGCGATAACGAAATCCTAGGTGTAAGGGTGGTTGACTTGAAATGTCCCAATGTTTGCGTTGATGTTTTCGCAACTTAAGTAAATTGTGTTCCCGTACATTTGCGCTTAACTGATGTCTGTGTATTTTGTGAACTGTAAACTCTTAGATTTAATAGCGGTTATATAAATGTCGAAGTATAACAATTCGTGTAAACCACCCTGTAACTATCACCACACTATTAATTTTAATAAAGAAATAAATATAATGTGTTTTCCTCATCCCAACGATTTAATAGCATAATATACGCGACATCTGTTTCACTATTGTTCTTGTGGTGGCGAATATATAGCATATTATGCAACAAGTATAGTAAACGGCATTTGAGTCACGAATTTATTTGGCACTAGCGGTGCGAGTGTTTAATAAACGAGTGACTTAAAAAGTTTACCAAACGTGTGCAATACTATATCTTTTCTACTACCGTTAGGTTTTAAGTTTGATTGATTTGACTGCCAAATATCGAAAACATCCGATTGCTTCCAAACCCGTGCGCTAATATCACGTCAAAATGTCCGAAGTGACTCGGATCCGTGGGAAACGAAACTGACATGGTAAAATGACACTTTCCGTGTGGTGTATAATTATGTATTTTCCAAAAGGGAGGAGAAACAGTAATTAACAAAATCATAAAAATTTTACGATATAATACAAAATATGATAAGGAAACCTCCGATCTGTGCACTTTTTTTTCTTAATTTCAATTATTATTGTTATTATTGATTTATGTGTAAAATAAACCCGTATAAGTCACTTAAAAAAGATATCTCAAATTCCTCTTTTCGTAATGAAACTACTTAGACATAAATAATTAAGCAGGATGGAAAACTTAAAAAGTATACAGTAAATTTTCAGATAATTTGGAATGGTAGTTTTCTGTATTTCGATTTGGTTTGTTTGGTTAAACCTACACACCTCGAATCATTCCTAAACTAGGGTCATACTAATTTCCACACAATGGAAACACGAGTTTGGTAATGTTACAGCGGTGTTACTACAGGTAGTTCATCAGAACAGTAAACATAATCATAATTACACATGAATATAATGATAGAGATCGGCGGATAATTTAGATAATAATTATTTTTATATCGAGCAAGTAAAAACTTATATAAAAGTAAGAATATGAAAACTGTCGGATGAATGAGTCCAGAAAAATAATAGCCTTATCTAGAATGTTATCAGCTTCCCATGTTCATTCCCTTTTTCCACAATTTATTTTAAAATGGACGTTATGCATTGCTACAAACCCATTTATTGGCGCCGTACCAGTTACCTTTATATTGTGGTTGCTTCTTATTTAAAGTAAACCAATGAACCAAGTTGTATTTCGACCGGATCACTAAGTGTGAGAAAAGGAGGACGGTGTTTTACCCAAAACAAAAAACTATAACGGTCCTTTTAATTGTGTTTAGTAACTTACAAGATCTTAGACAACAAAACGTACAATAAGACAAGCGTGCTACTTGAACTAAAATTACGCAAAACATCGCGTTCGCGATCTCTATAATGCAGCCATCGTTTAGTCCATTTGAGGCACCGTGTTGCCATGCGCTCTTAAAAGGGGTCAAACTCGGGCACTAGAACCATTTTTTTTTCTAAGAAGACGGGTATTTAATAGGATTTTTTGTGGTAGGAATTCATCAAAGATCAACATTCACGTCCTCATGATTGTCTATAGTCCATCCCCGACAAATCCATTTTTGCCGCAAATGTGAGTACTTATCAACCTTTTACCCTTTTCCGAGGACCTTATTCCAGTAGAAAAAACATAATTAGAGTTTTTTAAATTTTCAGCCTGCCATTAACGGTATATTATCCTTCACTTCACATATCCACCTTCGGTAAATTTGGTAAAAATAATAGATATTCCTGTTTTCCCTTCCAAACTGCTCTCAAATATCGCCATCAGATAATTTTGTCTTTCTCCTTACCCATTGCTGGAATGAAATCATTCATAATTTAATAACTTTTCTTATATGCTTGTGCTTATAAAAAGTATAGGATTGTGCGTGAAATTAAAAAAAACACTCGCACACACTACATTTTCAATTTCATTTTCATTTTCAATTTCAAATATGTTCTGTTTACTGTAAACAACGCACAAGAATAGATTATGATATACTTATGCGAGCATTTTTCTTGAAATCCAATGCCTAACTTTTAAATTAATTTATTCGATATTGTAGCAGTTCACTGTACAGAAAATAGTAAAGAAAATACCAACCTATTGGAATTGAATTAGCTACAGTTTTGCAAAACTGCACGAATACATCCACTAAGTGACGTGTGACGTGCCCGTAAAAACTGACAAACTTCGAAATACTATGGCTAAAATAGTATATTATGCCACAAGTGCGGTAAACGGCATTTGACTCACGAGTTTATTTGAAACAATCCGAGCGCAGCGGAGCGAGTTTTTAATAAACGAGTAAGTTAAAAAATTTACCGAACGTGTTGCATACTATACGTGTTGCATTTCTACGACCGTTAGTTTTTGAGTACATTTTCGCAAAACAACACGAATACATTCACTGACATGACCGTCAGAACTGACAAACGTCAAAATTCAAAGCACGGGAAATATCTCCGAAAACATCCGATTGCTCCCAGACCCGTGCGGTAAAATCCCGGAAATGTCCGAAGTGGCTCGGATTCATGGGAAACGTGGTAAAGTGACGCTTCCCGCATGCTAGATCGGTGGGTAATTAGGTATTTTACATACGAGAGTAGAAAAACTATTTAACTTTGTTTTTTTTTACAAAACTTCTGGATCCCTCCTGCGTCGATTTTTGCTGAGTCGACACGCAAAACGCAAAAACGGACGCAGGAGGAATCGAGAAGTTTTGTCAAAAGTATTACAGTAGCCTGTGGAAGTTTCTTTGAAAAATTATTTAACTTTGTGTTAACTATAATCAAAGGAAGAAAAGCTTCAATAAAACGTGAACAAGTAATAAATTTATAATTTATTAGTAGGCAATAAAATAACAATGCTGCAAGTCACTATTGAAACAAGGGCATCAATCCACAATTAATAAACTATTTATTTTGCCTATAATTTCGACCCATATATTATATTACATCACTATTTATAATAAAATGTTAAACTTGCAATTTAAGCTTCGGAACTGGTCGTAAACAATATCGGCGACTTTTTGCTCGGCTCGTCGATTTCTGATTTCGTCATTTGTTCATAAAAATGCCTCCTTCTTTCCTCTTTGTCCACGATGATTTGCGTTTTCAGCTTCCTTATAGATTTGGCCAACATATGAGCGAAGATGATTCCCATTAACTGTATATCAAATAAAAATTAAAACTTTTCAGATTAAATTCACCAAATTGCAACTTCAATCTCAATCTATAGTGAAAAGGTTCATTCCTTAAAAATCTAACCTAAGTATTTGAAATAAAGGAAGAGGACATTGAATCCCAAATAAAATTTGCTTAGTATCGACTGCTTTTTTTATGAAATGAAAGTTAATGGAATTTATTCCCACTGACAAAAAAAATCTGACTGCTGGATACTTGCCTGAATAAATGACACGCAAAGTGCTCCAACTCCCAAAAGCAGAGCGCACTGCGAAACAATGAACGTTAGACGATTCAGACATCCGTATTCGTAAACCTTGTATCTTTCGCAGTTTTCATCTGGGCAGCACGTCAACGGAACATTAACCGTCTCGTTCCTATAAGTCGCGTTCGTCAAATAATATCCAGAGAATCCGGCGAATCTATTCCATTCGGTTGCTTCGTTGATTCCGCAGCATTGCAACTAAAAGCAGAAATATACACATCTTTTTGCGAACTGCCAACTCTATGTAGATATATTTTTTAATTGCATCCTAAATCTTCAAAAACGACGTTACAAAAATAGTACTTTAGGTACTGGACGAGTAGGCAAATTCCTGCAAATCCAGTAAAAGCACTTTTTAAACCGGCTGAGTGTTGTAATAACCCTGTCGAATTTAACAATTTCGAACAATCATAAATTAGAGCTTACTAAAAAATAGAAACGTTATTTCTTAATATTAATATTGAACTATTGTCATTAATTATTTGTAAGCAAGGTATAATTATAATAAGAACATGAAACACTATATTTTTGGACTGCCTGACTTTTGAATGTCATCAGCCAAATCAATTTTTTTCTGAACCAAACTACCTCACAGATAATAATTTACTGGTTTTAAGTCGAGCCACCCCTGGGGCCAAAACTGACTAATTTACTGGGTACCTCGACCTATCCACTTGTTTCCAAAATTTTCATCTAACCACGTTCTTACACCCTGCCGAAGCGCTCCATGATGATGAAAAAACATCTCCGAGCGAGTAGGAATGGGAATATTCTCTAATAATTTTCTTAATCTATTTGGGAAAATAAAAGGACCTAATAACGTATTTCATATGATACCTACCAAGCAATGATAAAAAACCTATATTGAAAGTTGGTTCTTCGAACAACCATCGCATTTTCGTTACCACAGAAATGCGTGTTGTGAATGTTAAAAGCTTTATCTCTTGAAAATTTAACACCAATTGTATCTAAACTATATTGTTGGTTAAGAATCCAGCGGCAAAATTCTAAACGATTTTGAAAGTTTTTGATTTTTAAATTCCATACTTTTAAGCATTCCATGCATTTAAGCCATTTTACCAAGCTGGAAATTCATTTACCTATGTCACAAAACTGGAAAATAACGGCGAAACTTGTTCTTCTAATAGTAAATTATAGGAAAATTTCGATGAGCACAGATTGAAATATCAACAATGGTGTTAGGAATATTGGTCATATCTGGCAGGGGTATTAATGCTATTTGAAGATTTTCCTCAATTTTGTTTAGCCCTCATAATCGTAATTTCCCATAGATTGACTAAACAATCTACGTTCTGCTAAATTTCTATGTAGAAAATACTCTTTGGGGAAACCGTCTTTACCATATAGTACCATATATAGCTGATCTTCCAGAATATCTGGATGATTTAAAGCTATACCAATATTGTGACGATGCGACCATTTTAATGCCGGGGAAGAGGCGAAACGAAATCAATAGAAAAAATGAAAAAGCTATACACAAATATCAAACCCTAAAAAAAATATATAACTGAAAATTCGCATACAGAATTTCTAGATACAAAACTTGACTGTCAATTAAGGTGGGGAAATGAAATAGACCGTATCAAAAAAATATTAATAGCTCTTAATTTGCTATCTTAACATTGAAATCTTCCTTAAATACCTCTTCTCTTTTAAATGTATACTACTCATCAGTATAGTCAGTAATCGCTTACAATATTATAAGTGGGGGAAGAGCAGTAGATTCGGACCGAATCATTGTCCAAGAAAAAGGGATAATTCGATTAATTTACATCTTAAAACCAATAGAATTGTGCAGAAATGTACCTAGAACTAAACACATTTGAAGGCTGACAGGAATTTGTTTACTTAAACTATTAATTTACTATAATTTTTACTCGACAAAAAATAGAAATAACTTCCATTTAAAAAAATTTAATTACTATTGCTATAAAAATTCACCTTTTAATACCGAATTATATATTCTTATAATTATAATATAATGAATGTCTGCTAATTTCTGTTCGAAAAACGCTAGATACCTTTAAAAATCCAGTATGAACAAAAAAACACCATAATTGACGAAAAGACAATAACTTCATCAATTTTAAGGCTAATTTTCAATTTTTGATAAATAAATCAGATAGGCATACTAAGAGCACACAACTTTTCCGATTTTATAGAAAAAAGTGTAAAAGTAGATCCACGAGAAATTTATTGCAGTTCTCACCAAAACACTAATATTTCAAAACTTTCTCGCAACTCGGTTTGGAAATATTAATAAAAAACCATTTTCAAGTTTATCACTTTTAGGGCCTATGGCTCCGCTAGTCTTCTGCCATATCTTTATATAGGCATCTGGGGCGTATTCTAGACGTAAATAATTGTAAGGGAAATTGTAAAAATGAGCAAAAGCAAATTTCGCATTGTTACTTTGCGGGGAAAACTTATTTAAACAATAAAAAACAAACTTTATATGTTCCATAACACTGAGTGTCACTGATAGAAATACTTCAAAATGGGCGAGTTAAAAATGTTCATGTCATATTCGTTTTAAGGTATGTGAGCAGAGGAGATACAACACCCTGACACCCTTTCTTGCAATGAACTTTTTGGGCAGTCTACATGTACATAGGCTTAATTTTTACCGTACAAGCTTTTTATCAGCAAACTTAAATGTTTTGGTACACCGATTTTCCTGCAACCTCAGTCATAAAAGTTACATTTAATTGCATCGAACGATTCGGTGTAGTCCAGAAATCAGAAGATAACTGCCACGCTAAACTACTAGTACTGGTACTAACAGCCAAGTCAAAAAAACACCACGTTTTGATGAAAAGTAGTTTTTGTTTATGTTTTTTTTATTCAGTATTAACAACACTAATACATATATATACACTAATGCAGGTGCAGTGAGCTCTGTTTTACCGTGAAATGAAGAGAATTATTTAATTAAGCGTTTGTTAAAGCTGACTTGTAATATTCCTCTTAAGAATAACATAATGAAATGAAAATAAAGAAAATGCCATATTTAGACATGGTTATCCTTCTTCGAGTGCTATTTACAAAACTTTTGGATTCCTGCTGCGTTGGTTATTAATGAATCGTTTCGCCAATCATCCTGTTGGCTTCTTCTGAGCTTAACTGAAACTCGTTCGCATTCCACTCGGTATCTGTTTGAGGAGGGTGGAGCTAAAGGAGGAGGATGAATATTGTCTCAGGTGACTGATTCTCATACTGGTGAACGGTTAAGATTGTTTGGTTGCTCATAGATTTCTCTAGATTCTCGTTGGTAGAAGAATCACAAAAGTTATAGATGGAAGATGACGAGGGCTTTCTTCTTAAAGACTTTCATCAATATATTCGCGATGACCGATAATGAAGAACTTGTAGCTGTTCGCAACGTTTAGTCAAAAATCTGAGCGTTATAAGAAAAATATGTTCTAGGCAAGTATTTTTCAAATAAGATGAGAAGATTTGGTTACTAATTCTCGGATATTAACATATCTAAAATAATTTAATTTATATTACGTAGTACTTATACGAGCCCTAACAACTAAATGTTCGGACGATGTAAAAAATGATAAAAAATATATTTTTATATCTATTTCAATTTTTTTTTTGCTTTGTAGATTGAATAATCAATTTATTTGAGTGCTATCGTATTGAATTAATTTTTATTTCGCATGAATTACATAGCAAAATAACGGAAACATACCAAATTTGCTTACAAATAAATATTCGGACGCGAATGTTTATTAACCAAGAAATCAATGCTACCCATGCATTGATGGTAAAATGTAGTGTACTTAGATAAATGAGATGTAAGTTCGGGTTGTACCTTTCAAGTTTGTATAATAGTTGATAAGAAAATGACGCGTGGTGTTGCAACAAACAAAAAAGTGCGAGAAATTATCATACCTCAGTAATGCAAAAAATTTCAAATGACTAGAATTGCAAGACTTTGGTAGACTCCATGCCAAAACGCATAAAAGCTGTTATTGCCGAGAAAGGTGATGTCACTTCTTATTAATGTTCGATTTAAAGTAAAAGATTTAAATGCGTCCGAATATTTATTTGTCAGCAAATTCGGTATGTTTTTGATATTTTGTTATGTAATTTATGTGAAATAAAAAATAATTCATTACGATAGCACTTTTTGGTATAAAAATAAGTGCTTGATATCATTTTTCAATCGAAAAGGCAAAAAAAATCAATTTAAAATAAGTATAAATATGTTTTCTTATTATTTCGTACATCGTCCGAACAATTAGTTGTTAGGGCTCGTAATACTAATATGGTCTGGGCCATTTTTTTAACTCTATAATTAATGACGTTTTATGTATTTATATATACGGACAGGAAGTTGTATCCCCATCTGGGGCACCCTACCCGAAATCCTTTTTCTATGCATAAAAGAAAAGAGGGTTTTATTCCCGAAGAAAACACGCCAAAAGGGAAATTTGCGAGATTGGCCTATTTAAATAAATTGCGAGATATACTTTATTAGCACCCTTGAAAGAGCACAATAGTGTATTCAATACAAAGTTAATCGTTTTGCATTATAGGAAATATATGACCGTTTGGACAATTGTGTTCTCCAATAAAGTATAGAATTTTAAATTTTTATTTATTTGTTGTCTTCAGCTTTGTTAAGTGCTATTGACATTACCGTCATATCACAAATGTTATAAAATTAACTTAATAACTAGTAAAATTTGTAACCTTTGTTGGAAAACTTAACACTCACTTACGTTCAGAATTTAAATATTTCAATTTCGTTTACTATATAATAATATATTATAAAAAAAATAGTTCTTCAGTTGCTTTTTACTATTAATGGTGTTTCCATTGTCAACATAATATTCACAAAATTATAGACGCTTCACCTTTAATTAAATATATTATAAAAAAGTATAGTATGCAACACGTTTGGTAAACTTTTTAAGTCACTTGTTTATTAAACACTCTTTCCGCTGCGCTGCTCAAATTCCGTTTACCACACTTATTGCATAATATACAATTATGCACATTTTTAATTCACTTTATGGGGAAAACGTTTCTTCACGAAAAAAATTTTGTGTTATTGACAAATCTGAGTTTTTGCAGATTGCCAGTAGGCTGCTCCATTTGGGAAAGGAAACCTTAGTATTTGATTGAGCACAAAAAGTATTTTATGATACGATAGCAAGAAAACATAATGGTTTTGTTCATCAAATGGTAATATATTTGACATAATTAAATTCGGACTATTCATTATTTATATTTTGACTATCCACCAATTTTGTTTTTAAAGGTTATTGTGAATCAACATAATCCAACTAAAGAATTGAAAAGCAATGATGGCCTGTTTCAATTAAATTAAATATTGCAAAAATTTTTAACTTAAAATATTTACTTATTCTTAAAGTAAAATAAGAATATTCGTGAATAATAACGCTAGGTAAACATTAACTAAAAAACAAGCATCAAAATCAATACCCCAGAAATATTAAATATATGTATTTTTTAACGTGTTTTCCATTAACTTGAAGACATTTGTAAATTGTTGCCCAAACATCAGAATTTTTTGGTTTTTGACACGTTTTCGAAAAAAATATTTTTATCTCCAAAAAATCTTGATACCACATGCAATATACAAAGAGTTTGGTGGGTTATCCAAACTTTGGTAGTTATATACACATACTCATTTCGAAAAGATTTTCTTAATTTATCTGAGCCCTAAAGATCACCAATTTTAGTATATTAATATTTTCATATTATTAACAACATCAGCCTAAAGCTAATTATTTCGATAGTATTTGTGCTTAATTATGATCTTATTAGAGGAAGGACCAAAAACATATAAAAATGACTTTTTGAAGTGAAAACATTTATTTTTGAAAATTCCTGAACATTTTGGAAACGCAAAGGATGAAAAGAATTAAAGCACAAATCTATTATCCTCCATATGGTTCTATCTGTACGCCCACCAAGTTTGGCTAACTCTTTAGCAAATTACCCTATCTGGCATATTTAATATAAAAATTTGAAGTTGGTATATGGCTGATTGAGTGAAATATTATAAGCTTAAAAAATTCAAAGATGGCTTAATCAACATCTTGTATATATTAGAAATTAGATGAAAATTATCTTCCGTTAAATAGAATTGCGATCCAAAGTTATAACTATAATATTGTTTTGTATAATTATTTAAACCACAGCATTTGCGCTAAGCTTATTCACAAAATAATTTTATTCCTTTATACAATCAAGACATAAATAATTCATTATGATCCATTTTTACCGGACAACTAATTTATTTGAATAGGTACCTAATTGTTTACTTTTAATCACACTGAATTTCATGATATCAGATAAACATTGTTTTAATTGTTTCGCAGAACATGTGTTTTACATTTCGGAGTAATTTCTCTTCAAATCTCGCTTTCAACTAATAGGACCTTGTTCAGTAATTAACATGGACTTTCGGAGGCATGCGCGGAAATGTCACATTCGAGTGAATAAACAAATATTGTTTCAACTGCTTCGCATAACCAAAATAAATTAACCTTACATAACAAATATAATAACATAACAAATATATCGTTTACCAATTGCCACCCCCTCGATATATATCTGGACGGAGAGACAAGGTAGGCTACACAAACACACTTTTTCAAGCGGCGATTAAGGGTACTCATTTCCTGGGTACGTATCACAGTATATTCCAAGCGGAAATGCATGCGATTAACATCTGCGCAATGATGGTGGAATTCAGATTGTGCGGAAAAGAATTTTAAAAAAAGTTCCAATAGTCAGGAAGAATTAAAAGCCTTAAAATCACCCTAGTGTGCCTACAAGACTGTAAGAAACTGCCAGGACTCCCTATTCATGTTAGAGTGCCGTAATAACGAACAACTGACAGGGCATAGTGAACTGAAAGAAAGCGAGACTCCTAGCGAGGAATGGGGTAGAAACAACTTTCGAACGAATAGTAATAGGTCTAAATATTTTCAAAAATTATAAACATAAAAATATTATATGAAACAAACAAATACAAAATATATTACACGAAAAGACCCACTTCTTTATATTTATTTATTTTTACCTTTTGTCGCATTCGAAGATGTTAGAAAAATGTGTTGTTAGTAAAGATTTTTTTCTACTCCCTTCTGTAAAATACCTAATTATACATCGATCTAGCTTGCGAAAAGTATCATTTTACCACGTCAGTTTCATTCCCCACGGATCCGAGCCTCTTCGGACATTTCCGGGACATTACCGGACGAGTTTAAGAGCAATCGGATGTATTCGGAGATTTCACCGAACGGCTTGAATTTTGACGTTTTTGGGAGCTCTGATGGTCATGTCAGTGAATGTAGTTGTGTTGTTTTGCAAAAATGTACCCAAAAACTAACAGTCGTAGAAAAAGTATAGTATGCAACACGTTTGGTAAACTTTTTAAATCACTCGTCTATTAAACTTGTGACTCAAATGCCTTTTACCATACTCGTTGCATAATAAATGTTTTTAAAATTTCTTTTGGTTTACGTTCCTGATTTCAGCAGAGCTTATTGTAGTATGATCGGAATCGGAATGAGAAAATAAGGTTTTTTTTTATAACTGAAAGTTATTTTTGTTTCTTGCCGAGTAAGAGTGAATGTCAGATCTGGTTTGAAAGCTGCCTTTATTTTTTTGTGCGTAAATTAATAGTTTAAGTAAATAAATACCTGTCAGAGTTTTTTTTTTTTTAATTCTAAAACATCTCAGCAAGCCTCTTTTGGAAACGAGCCCTCATTGACCTATTAATTCAAAATATCTGTTAGATAGGGAGAGAGTAGATTCTTTAATTAATTTTGTTACTAATTTATCTGCCTCTATTTATGTTTTTTTATTATGTGATTTGTCATAAACGTATCACATTATTTTATTTGCCAACGTACATGTTAATGTAATTATGAACAATGTTTATATTTTATTTTTACTTAGTTAGCAAAATAAATTCCAAATTGATTTGCTATTTCAAGTTGATCGGTAAAACATTTATTTTTAAATCGATTTGTGTGTGAATTTTTTGTTTATATAATTTCTACGTCAGAGGTGTAGTATATTGCCCACACTCTTTAAGTTATATGCTTATATACTTTACAATTCGCCTATTATAAAATGATGATAGCAAATGATAGACATGACTTGCAATATATGGCGCAGAAACTACAAGAGGAATAGAGTAAATGGGGTTTAGAATACCCAGAAAACTAAGTACCTGCCCATAGAAAGGGAACCGTTCAATAAATTGGAAAAAAAACGACAGTTTACGATTTACGAGTCGTTTATTAAGAGTAGTCTGCTTTATGGTGCAGAGATGTGGAGAGTCACGGAAAGCAATCGAAGAAAGCTAGAAGCAATAAAAATAGATGTATTTAGAAGATCACAAGGAATGTCCAGAAAAGAAAGAATTCTAAACGAGGGTGTACGTCAAAAAATGAGAGCAAAAACAACTGACATTGAATGAAAGCAACTCGTATGGTACGACCATGTCCAAGCGAAACTACCAAAACTGATTATACAGTGGGTACAGCCAAACCGTAGAAAACCTGAAAGACCAAAAAGACTTGGAAAGAAGGAGTATCCAAAGCAATGAGTTCGCGAGATCTGAGAGAGGGGCGATGGAATGACAGACTCGCATGAAAAATAGACATCATGCAATATCCCAACGGGAACTAATTCCAAGATCTTTTTTTTCTCTTTGAGAAATTACATTAGAGTGGTGCTATTTCTTTTTTTCGGTACTATTTTCTTTCGATTTTTATACTCAATGTGCATCTCAACGTATCAGATTTATAAGATTTTCTTTGCCAATTTAAATCTTTTAAGTAATTAATTTCCTTTTGTAGGTCGTGAGAAAATGTAACTTTTATATTTTTCTTTGAGGAGTTTTCTTTAATTACTATGTGTTTTGCTAGCTAGGGAGCATCACTGTAATTGTTTCCAGAAGAACTTATATGCTTCGTTGAAGATGGGTGGAATTAGGGATTATTAACTGATTTTGACCAAAATAGTATTTATATTCGTTTATTGTGATGTCACCAATTAACTTTGAATTGTTGAAGTAGAGAAAAGTAATCACCAATAGGTCCTGAGCCGATTTTGGCTATATTACTTTGCTTAATTTATGAGTGTGCCCCAATATCATATCAGGTTGTAGCCGACGGCCATACAATAAATCCTAAATCTATTTAAATCTATTTGACACTTACGTTGTATTGGGTCGCATTCCAGGTAAAAGCGTTAAATTCGTTGTCGTAGTGGTGCATGGCAACTTCCATGTTGTTTCCAATCGTAGCATTCAGATTCGCTCTCATGGCATAAGCTGCAATGCTAACCGCGATCTCCAACACCAACACGATCGCCAAAAAGAAGGAGTACTGCAAAACTCCCAGTTGGGTTTAACGTAAATTCAGTATTTCAAGTTTCACTTACAGTATTCACTAGGCAGGTACTCTCTTTGATGGCGCCCACGCACCCGAACAAAGCGATGACTAGTATGATGAACCCGATAACTATAGCCAGAATCGATGGACTGTAATATTGCGATTCCATAAACTCTTCGAAGTTCCGGTATATTGCTTTTATGCTATATCCGATAGATATAAGCAATAAACCGACTAACTGAAAGCAAATATTGAAATTATTTGTATTATTATAAGTATTATTCTTAAAAATTAAACTTGCCTCAGCCAAGTTTCTAAATTATACCATCATCTCTCGCGATATTTCATTTGCATTAAATAGTTTACTTCATACATATAGATTTGTAATCATATCTCGCGCACCCTATACAATTGGCGAAAACGTGTAATACAGAAATTATAGCGCTCGATATGAGTCATAAAGATAACCAAGCTTTTTTGTTACAGCTACGGTTATTATCATAATAGAATAGAACTTTATTAACCATTCAGATAAAGTTATACAACAACAAATGGTACATAAAAAATAGTAATGCAAATAACAAAACATTGAGAAGTAACTAGAGCTTTTCAATTATAGAAAAATATAATAACTGAGTACACCAAATAGGTTGAAATACAGTTAAGGTTTTCCAGGAACCACTTATGATAAGCAATTTTTGCAAAGGCATCAATTTGGAGTAATCATGGAGTAATTACGGCTACTACTCGATAGACATACGCGTCTTAATGCAACACATCCATGTAATACTCGAGTCAGTCAAATATAAATGAGCCTTTAAACGCCGAGTGTACGGAGGGGTATTTGAGTGTGTGTGTGGTCCGTATACTATATCAGCTGACTTGTCCAGTCTGTGTATGTTAAGCAACGCACAAGGAGCCGAAATTTGGCTGTTTTCCCAGTTCGAGGAAGCTACGCTCTCGTAGTCATTAGTCGCTTTCGTTTTCGCACCAGCGTTGTTACTGAAAACATTGCACAAATTTCGGAAGAACCTGGTGTCAGCTATGGCAGTGTCAAATCAATCTAAGAAAAATCTAAGCACGTTGCGTTCCAACGTTGCTGAATGATGATCCTTTCTAAATTCAAGGAAAAGGAGAAGCTGTTATGCATAACATTCAAAGCCTGCAAGTATGTAGCGGAAAACACTTAATCATAAACCTTAGAGTCAATAAAGATGCACTTGGAGGCAAGTAATTTGAGACCAACCGGCATGTGAGAAGATTCGTGCAAACTGATTACATACCCGCCCACCTTCATTTTGCTAGAATGGAATGAAAAAATTATCATCGCGTTGGCAAAATTGTGCAATAAGTGTGTTTTATAGAAGAATAATTCGCAGAGTTGTAGCTGTTTCTTGTAGAATAAATTTTGTTTATACAAAAACTCGTTTATATTTCATTGACCCATATACATAGAGGACAGGGTCATAATCTGTTGGTTGGTTAGTTTTGGTTAGTTTTCTCTGAATTTCTAAACCTTTCCTGCATTACTGTTCTATAAAATAGCAAGCTCTCTACTTTAAGGTCCACCAGGCGCCAAGAGTGTTGTACAAACCTTGTCAATATAGTCAATCCAGGGCAGAGTTCTATAGATAACAAATCGCAAGATATGTTACTGCAGCAGAAAAAAACCATCGTTGGTGGTTTTCTTATTAGCACAGTTCGCCAATACACTGTCAGTTGACAGACCTCTACACTCAAAGTGATGAAACCTTTTGCCGAGATATAATATAAAAACCAATTTACTTGAGAATACATGTTTGAAATAATTTTCAAAAATAAAGTAAACAGTAAGAGTAATTTCAAATTAGTAGGTTCCTATTTTGTTTAATATAGACAAAAACATTTGCCGGCGACTTTCAATTCTGAGCACCATAGAGCATTAAAATTGAAATTAAATTTCAACCTCCTACTAGCTTAACAAAAGCGCAGCTTCCAAAGGTCGACGAATATGTGTTCCGACTAGAATTTACAAAAAATCTTGTTTGTTAAACTAGGGTGGCAATTTTTTTTGTTAAAATTGGTGATACGAAGCTTGAAAACGATCGCTCCATATTGGTGCAGTACTTGTATTAGAATTATTTCTATTTCCGTTACCATCTATCGAATTGGTATGGTTTAAAAAATGCAGCAATATGGATTTTATGAAGCAAATTTTATTTAAAGTGAGTGAGTGACGGAGATTGTTATTTGTTATACAAGTTAACACTAATGGCAGACAACTTGGATGAAAGATTGTTTATATTATTTATTTATTATACTTTTTGAAAAACGAAATTGTAAAATGAGCATCACTAGTCGCCTTTTTATTTTGTAAAATGTGTTTCACGTTTCTATCACGTTGTTGCCATTCCAAGTTAGATTGAAATAAGTAATTACGTCTCGGAGTCTTTGAGGCGTCATATCAGCAGTTATAAAACAAGTGATTCACCTTATCGGTAGATTAATGTAAAGCGATACAAAGAAAAATCCATTTTGTGGATGGAGCTAGTCATGCTTTATTGCAAAATATTAGAAACATATTTCGTATTTTTTGAGAAACCTTGTTTAATACTGGAAAACATTGATCTGTCTTAGAATAATAAGAATAACTTTAAATTAAAAGTTAAAATTACTAATGAAGTTTCCCTACTACTTGCATTTTACAATAGATGCCTACCATAAATTTTATTTACTCTGAAGGTACAATTAAAAAAAAATAAAAACTCATTAGCGACGATAATAGTTTTCTTTCCGTATTGTGCACACTCATAATTACCACGCTAATAACTACATGTGATTCTTGCTAGCAAAGCCTAATAAAAAACACATAAAAAAGAATGTCGGATGAGGAATGAATGAACAAAAACGAGATTGTGAAATTTACGGAGAAACGTAAAATAAAGGGGTGATAAAACTTAAAAGATGATATGTCAAGACGACAATTAAAATCAAACAGAACAACTTGGAAACAACACTTGAAAAGGTACAGGGAGAAAAAGAAATAAATAGAAAAACTTTATATGCAAAACGAATTTGCCAAACAAAACTAAAATGTGTCTTTAGACTAGCTAAATTATAGAAAAAAAATCTACAAAATAACGCCAAAATTCTCCTAATAAAATAGAACGTTACCAGGAAAAATATTATACAAAGATTGTCTGGTATATTTGCCAAATTAAAGATTTTTAAGAATATTTTAAAAGCAGCATTGCCCACTGTTAATTTTGTTTTAACAAGCTTAACTTGTTTTTATGAACACTAGATTTTTGTTTCGAATAATAAATGGCATTTTGGAATAAACCGGAGAAATTTTAGTTTCTCCTCATTTAACCTTACTTTTACATATATCCTTATCGTGGAAAGAAAAACTTGGAAGCTCGTAAAAACTGATTTTTTTTTTCTTTTTTTTTTTCTCGGCAAATCGTCGTTACTTCAAAATCTTTTTTTTTTGAGAATTACTCAATAACAAATTTAACTAAAAAAATCATACCAGTAAAAAGGCAGTGAATCATTTTAAACAGCCTGCGTCATGTTGCTTTTGATGTGACTTCACAAATACTCCGACAGACTTAGCGATTCATTTTATTGAAGGTTTAAAGTTCTTGCTTTTCACAGGTGATTGGTACAGCATTTGGTAATGAGTGGATTAGAAACAGATTTTATTTCTGGTTGTTTTATGTTTCCTATTTCTATGAAATATAAGTTAACAATTGCATTTTATAAATTCTCGTCAAAAATTTGGCTCCCGATCATAGCTTTTAACTATATTCACCCTCGTCTCCGATGTACGTTTCAAATATACTCCAGGTGGTAGCACAGAACCTGATTCTTTTTTAGAAGAATATTTTGTTACAGCATTACCTATGTTATGATTCAAATACTCCAATAAACTACAAACAAGGCCTGGTCTTACCGATAAGGCATTCGCACGGGAAAAAAATCAGAAGGAATACCCTTAAAATTACAGAAGAAATTCTAGTTACTCACCAACCTAGTTAGGAATAGAAAGAAAGTGTGTGTTAGCGATAGGCATAACATCAGAGATGCCCATAAACCAAGTACTGCGGTTTACAAATTAAAAGGCAAAGACTTTAATATGACATATACCAAAATAAAACTCTCATAAGAGGATCTCCATCACTAAAAATTCTGTACCAATTTGAATATGACAACATAAAGGTTGTAACTTCGGGAGGCGATTATCACAAAAGGGCGTTACTTGAAATGGAACACATTAAAAGAGATCCTAATTTCATAAATGATGGTAATGATATTCAAAACTTTCCAAAATTTACACAAACTTAATAAACTGGATTATTTTAGTAGTGTATATGAGAACCCAAATGGATCTTTAGCTATTGAAAATACCCTACGAGGTCTTAACCCGAAGAAGGGACAGAGCCCGGATGAAATTCCTTCGATATTTTTGAGTGCTTCTCCTAGCTTAACTAAACCATTGTACAAATTGTTTGATGATAGTCAGTCTCTAGGAATTTTTTGGAAAAAACGGAAGATTCTCGATCTACAAAACCGACAATAGGAACAAAGGTCACTTTCGGAAAGTTTTTGAGTCTGAGTTTTGTTGGAGCTATTGTTCTTTCAAATTAAAAATAACACAATCAACATCTAAAAGGGTTGGTCTATTATAATTATGACTAATCTTGTCTCTTTCGTTTGAAGAACAAAAAAACAGATGATCATAATGTCTGCGTTGTTTACACCGATTTTTCAAAAATCTCCAACAAGGTTCATCACGTAAGCTGTTATACATGGTAATTTTATGCAAGGTATATATGTATATATAGCAATTAATGGAATGAGAGAGTCGTGCTTAGGTGAGAATTCTGGGGTTCTGCAAAAGTCAAACTTGAGTCGCTAGCTCTTGGTTTTATTTTTATATCATATAGGAACTTGTCTTCTAGATTTGTATGCTGATGATCTGAAGATTTCTACTATCATTAATTCGTTTTTAGATATGGAAAATTTGCAAACAGATTTTCTAAGTACTGCACTCTGAATTGACTCTGTTTAAATGTCGCAACATAATTTTTTCTAAACCGAATCTCTCGAGAAATCAAAATGTTAACGTGGTTAAATGTTAACTGTTATGCGAGTCCCATGAAAGGCCATCATTGGAAAAAGACTGCGTAATTTAGGACTTATTCTGCGAACTATTGAGGGCTTACATTATATTCCAGTTTAGTAAGAAGTGCTCTGCAATATTCGTCAACAGTTTCTAGTTCGACTTACATGGATCGGATCTGGAGTTTCCAAATTAAATTTATTAATGCTCTTAATTTTCGTTTCAATAGGAAGACACTTTCACTCTTATAATGCACATTGATGCTATTATTCCTTACAATCACACTGTAACAATCACAGAGTTTTTTTAAACCTCGATAAATAACAAATAATACAGCTTACAGGAAAAAAAGAACTCAGCAATATTGACTTAAAATTCGACAATATAAAACTTAAGTTAAAAATTTAGGCATCATGCTGGACTCTGAGTTAACATTTGAAGCACATGTAGAAAATATTGTAAAGAAGGGCTTGAGAAATATTGCTTTTGTATTATGTAACACCAAAGGCTTTCGCAACCACAAATCAGTCATTCTAATTTATAATAGCGTCATCAAATCCATCTTGAAATACTCATCTACCGTATGAAATCCCATCTATCGCTAGTATGTCGATCGGATAGAGAATCTCCAAAACAAGATTTTTAAAAACCTTAATTTTAGATATAATAGAGACAGAAACTATTTTTCGTATGAAAATAACCTACAGTTTTATAAATTAAGATCGCTTGAAACACGTAGAAATTGCTCAAACGTATTTTTTCTTTATAAAATTGTCAAGTCCTTATCGAGTGCACACTAAGCTAATTTATTCTATAGATAGAATTAGATCTAGCTACTTCTTAAACTCTCCGCTCATTAGATGTATTGGTATATACAATAAATGTGTTTTTCTGAACAATGAAGATACATACTTATTCAACTTAAGCCTACATCTGTTTAAAAGAAACGTATACAAAATTTTGTAACATTCTTCTAATTACTGTGTGTTAGCTTAGGAAATATCTTGTTAAGTTTCTAGTGTATTCTCGACCATATGCAATGTTATGATTAATATGCGCTATCCTGTAATTGGCCAGCCTCGTCTGCCTTTATGTTTATAAAATAAATAAATAAATAAATAAAATAAATAAATAGATAAATAAAAATAAAATAAATCACTGAATTCCAGAAAGCAGTGTTTTAATATTTTCTCCACTCTCTTCTGTAAAAAACCTAATTATACACCGATCTAGCGTACAGAAAATGTCATTTTACTGCATCAGTTTTTTTCCCATGGATCCGAGCTACTATGGACATTTCCGGGATATCACCGCACGAGTTTGGAACCAATGAGATGTTTTTGGAGAATTTACAGCACAATTCCGACAGTCATGTCAGTGAATGAATTAGTCTCGTCTTGCAAAAATGTCCTAGAAAAAGTGTAGTATGCAACACGTTTGTTTAACTTTGTAAGTCACTCGTTAATTGACTTATTTACTACTAATTTACGTGCTTAAGATTGCTCTTACTTCGAGTATTGAATAAGTAACTTTACTTGTAGAAATAAATGACTGTTTTTTATAAATGTCTTTTTATCTAAACGTCGCGATATATGTATTTGCTAATGGCATTTTAATTTCAATGATTATAACAGCAGCATCGCTAATCATTTTACTTTGTTTGTGTAAGTCTTCTACTTTGTGTATGATTACACAAAAAATTGAAATTATACCAAAAATTGTTGTAAAAAATAAGTTGTTTTAATTAAAAATATATATACGAATGACAAATTTTATTTGACTGAGAAAACTAACGCAATCCTATACCTTTATTAATATTGCGGTTAGGAACTAACTATAAAGCCAAACAGCGCCACTTTAAAATGGCGTTCTCGCGATTTGGTGAAGTCACGACGACTGCGCGCGCAGTGTTAACGCTAATCCGTCTAAAATTGATCGAAAAACAATAATTAGTGAACTAAAAAGTAATTATGAAATCTGTAAGTCGGCTGAAAGATAAGATAAGAGAAGTATTGCCGTTTCCAATCACAAAAAACACAAGTATAAACAAGTATTTGGGAAATGTGAAGCAAAAACTGCGTAAATTCAGAGCTATATAGTTACATTGCTTTGAAATTACGCCTCGTTACTTACCACAAACATAAAGTTGGCGACAAAAAGCATATACTTTATGCATTTCATGCCGAAATCGAGATCCTTCTGGGCCGCCATTTTGTAGTTGAGCACCTCAAAATCCGAAGCTCCAGCGAACACGAACAATATAGAAATATATCGAAATCAACTTCGCACTTGGTACCTATTCACATCAGATGAACGCCTGTACTAATGGCGACCGTGATATTGATAGGAAATAATCAAGTGCGCACACTTATCTCGATCATACCGTTATTTGTTTTACTAACTGTGTCGCACCTATTGTTAAAAGATAAGATATCGTTTTTTATCCGTGACGGCGAGGAAGCGCAAGCATGAAAAACAAATATTTTCATCAAAAAATACGAATTTCCAAAGAGTCGCAGACCCTAATAAATCCGATTTACTCGTGTGCAAATATAAAAGTAAAACACACGTTTGTAACCTTTTACCTTACAGAGAATTTAAAGCTGGTGCTGCTGCAAGTGACTTGACTAAGAGTGGAATTTGACTTTTGTGAAAAGAATGGTGTCAAATCTCAAACAATAGGGAAGTGTAAAAATTTAGGTTTCAGTAAATGTTTTCATGAAGACGAAAATGATTTAGTTAAGATCGATTTATATTATACGAAACGTCAACGTAAAGTGACGACACATAAACATTATGTGTAAACTATTTCTTGTTGTTTTAAATGGTTACATTCGCTTCTACAGCAACTTCCAGCATTTTGAAAAAGAATGGGTTGCTTATTGGCTGCACCTGCCAGCGATAGAAACACTGTGAAACACTATGAAGTCTGGAAACAGCTTTGCTAAAGACAATACCCAAATAAATTATAGAATTGCTGACGTTCCGCCGATCATCCTTTTGACTTCTTCAGACCTTAACTGAAACTAATAATAAACAACCGACACAGGAGGAATCCAGAAGCTTCCTTAAAAAGTTTTGTCCACAATGGCGGCTGGGGAATTAGCGAAAAAGAAATACCAGTCTGATAATCGTTCATTTTCTTTCATGAAACATGGTTACCAATTATTACCAATATTACAGTTGCCATTAATACAGGCGTTCAACGGAATGGAATAGTTATGCTGAAAGAGTTAAGCTAATTTCGATATATTTTTCTTCTTCTTCTTCTTTTTTAGCGTTTTCTAAATCCACTTTTGAACATACGCCTCTTCAAGTTTTGTCTGCCAATTTTCTTCTGCTATAGGCTGATTGTATTCAATTTCGGCCAGCGATTAGTTTTAAATCATCCGTCCATCTCATTGGAGGTCTTCCCCTGGGTCTTCGAAATTCGTATTCGTTGTTAGTTTCTCCCCTAGCAACATGTCCTGCGTATTCAAATTTGTGCACTACGTCGGTTATCTTTGTATGTCTATGTATGTGTTCTTTTATCTTTAAGAAATATTCCCAGCATTAGAATGTTCACGTTCTTCTTTGTGATGGTAGATTTTTGTGCAAGATGATTTCGTCAAAAAATTAAGTGCTTAGATGTAGTGTGTCGGCTTGTTTAACACCTCTCTCTATATTTGCTGGTTTTGTGTGTTCGTTCGAGTAGAGGCAGTATGTAGCTACAGACTGATTCATGATACTTTGTATTAGGGTAATGTATCTACTGTCAAACCTGCAATTGAGTACCGCGCTATGTTCCACTGTGTCGAATGTTTTTTTCATAATCTACGAATGCCAAATAGAGTGCAAATTTGTACTCGTTGTATTTTTCTATCAACATTCTAATGGTTAATTAGTGGTCTGATATTGAATAGCCCTTTCTGAAGCCAGCTTGTTCGTATAATTGGTATTCATTTAGTTTTTTAGTTAGCCTATTAGTAATGATCTTCGTAAGTATCTTATGTAGGTGTGATAGCAGGTATATTGGTATATAGTTCCCTAAATTTTGCCCATGCGTAATAATATTACTTTCGAGTTATTCCATGCACTGGGTATTTTTTGCCGGTGGATGCAACTGATTACTAGTTTTATTACGATCCTAATCAACCTTTTTTCCACCCTCAAGAATCATATCTGTATTGATTCTGCGAACTCCGAGTGCCTTGTTATTTTTCATGTCCTTTGCCTTTGTAAATTCTTCTATTGTTACTTTTGGCATCGCTTCTGATCCCACATTTCTTATTAATCTTGGGGTTAGTTTTATGCTGACCTCTTGTTCTTTTGTTCTACATAATTCTGTATAGAATTCCGCTATACTTTCTAGAACCTTTACTTGATCACAAATTTCGACTCCGTTTTTATCATTTAGTGACAGAATTTGATGTGTTCCTACCTTCGGCTTTAGACATATCATACCTTTTCAAGTATTGTTGTTATTAGTTTATTTTGGGTTTTTCTTTTGTCTTCTCTAATCTTTTTTCTAATAGGTTTATTTAGCTCGACGTATTCTGGTGAGCCTTTTTAGTTTTTTCTATTAAGGTTCCATATTTTTTCTATAAATAACTTTGTTTCCTTATCTAGTTCTGTTCGAGTTCTAGTGTTTTTGATTTTTTTCTTATAATTTCAATTCGTTTATATCTGAATGGTTTATCTGATCTTGAAATCTTGTGTTTAGTGTATTTTCCACTATATCTGATGTCCTTTAGTTTATCAGCTGTAAACTGCACTATTTTTTATTTTATTTTTGTCAGGGCTAATACACGTCCATTTTCTTGTTGATTTTTTGTCAAAGAAAGAGTTCATTGAATACATATTATATTCGTTCATGAATGTAATATGTATTCAAGTTATGATTTTTTTTAATTTTAATTACCATACCATTACTTCTTCCTTCATAACTGCCAACTATACTCCACTTGATCTTACTCAATTCATATTCCAATTTTATAAATTAATCTTTTTTTAAAGTGATCCTACATTATATGAGCCCAGCCACATCGTCGTCTTGTGGTAGCCTATTCAAACACAAGGATTTTTAGCACCCTCTATTCTCTATCTTGACCAGAGCTTCGGGAAGGGCTGGCGACTGACTACCATCGTTTATTTTGTCTGATCAGCTATCTGAAGGTTTGGAGCTACTCCTTCTCGCGCTGATCCCATGCGTATTGATGTGTGCTTTTAGCATATCAGGAAATTTAGTCCTGTTCCTCTGTTCTGATTATAGTATCAGTGCTCGTTCGCCAGAGTCTGATTCGTTATCTAGCAGAGTGCACAGTCAGACAGTCATCACTTGAGCAGGTGTGGTTGACTTTAAGGTGGCATTGATGGTCCGATATTAGGCAACACCAAAATATATTTTTATATTTTTCTTGTTCGTTGGAACTTCGGATTGTGAGCCAGCAGTGTTTCTCTGCTATACTGCCATACTGGTTAACGACCTGCTGCAAAGGACTTAATGATTGTGGTAAGAGGAACATTGTATAGTACTCCCTCAAAGAGAAGCCGAAAGGCTATGAAAGTCGCGGGAGACTGTAGCCAAAATGAGCAGCTAAAAATGAACCCGAAAATGCACGAGAGAAAGGCTACATAAGAAAGCAAAGTATTTAGGAGTCACATTTGAACATTTGACCAAAAAGCTTACTTGGAAAGCGCACATTCAGACGATTACGCTTGGGGCAGCAATTGTACTTGGGAGGTTCAGAAGGATTATAGCGTATCGAGAGGGAATTTGGTGGACAAGAACCATACAGATGGAGGCAACAAGGTAGCTGAGTAGCGTGCGTGAGTGCCTACTGCAGAATTACTACTACTACTGAAGACTACTGAATATCCCACCAAAACAATGTATATACAAAGATCCGTTGCATATAGTCAGCTGCAAGGTCAGTCATAAATAATTGATGAAGATAGCAAGAATCAAGCCCTACAGGGAGATAGACGCAGACGAAGTCCTAAGACTGCCTATGGACAGCAACAACACTGCTTTCTTAAATATTACAGAACTAAAATCCAGTCAGAGAATACTGGAAGAGTGACCCACCAATAAGAACAGAAATAATAAGATACCCAGACGACTAAAACATTCAAGAAGGAGTAGAAGCTAGAATATATGAATCCAGGACGAAAATTAAAATTTCATCCGTCATCAAAAAATAGATGGAGAGAGAATTCCTGCCATGGCTGAGAGACATACCAGGACAACGACAGGAGAGGGAATTCCTTAGAACTCCAATAGCCCAATTTAACAGCTAAACTACACAAGAAAGGCCAAGAGGCAAGAAAGCAAGAAAAGGAGGAAACACCCACCCACGTACTATTCCAATGTGAAGAGAGTGCGATTCCTTCTGCTAAATGTAACTGAACTAGAGGTCATGAGCTACACCGAAAAGCCACTATCGAAGCTGCGAACTCAGGTCAGAGAAACGAATTTGCTCGCTATGGCGAGGGTCATAATGGATCCTGTGGGTCGCGGTGATGGACAATCTGATTGCTAACTCTCACAAATCTGATATCTTAAATCTTAAACCTTTCTCAGAATAGCGTTATAGATGCACATTGAACTAAATAAAATTAAGGAATCAATATAATATAATATAAACTAGGAAACTGAAAATGACATGGCTTCAAATAATTTTGCTTAAGGAAGTTACAAAAAAAGTTAGTTTTCAAAAGTTCATTATAGCATTCATTATAAAAAACGTATCTGTTCGTGACACGTCGTGAGCTGAGGAAAGCAGACCTACGATGTGATGACTCCCATGCGCATGCTCTTAAACTTAAACTAGGCAACAAAAAAATTCTTCTCCCTCTTTTAACGCTAATGTTATATAAATTTAATAAAAAATTGTGTTAATGAGACGTCCCCGAATATCTGGAGAAATATCATGTTATTACTGATAGAATATACTTTCATTTATATCGTTAATTTAGATGAAAATACAAATAGCAACACAAAACTGCATATGCATATAGAATCATATAAATCTTTATATTATAACGTAAGTAATATTTTTAATTTTTTTAATTCATTAAATTAGTTATAAACTTTTATGCTGGTATTATTCTTTTCTGCAGTACATCTTTTTCCATAGCTCATTGCTTCTACTTCATCAATGGCTTGGTTATCATTCGTAGTTTCTTGATAATTACGTATTTTTGGCACCACAGCACTTAAAATAATGTGAAATATAAGTATTTGGTGGTTTCTAAACATTTCGATTTTGTATATACGTAACTACTAGACAATACAGTGAAATTCGTTATAGACTCATTATTTGCATAGAAATTAATAATAACACCTTTATATAGCATTATGCTAACAAAAGAAA